GCCGGGCGGGGGGGTCCCCCCCCCCCCCCCCCCCCCGCCGAGTGCACATATTTTTGTGCACCAGGCCTCTAGTTTCCTAATAAGTTCTTTCTGATTATAGTATGTGTAATGAGTGTGATAGGTACCCCTCCAAAAAACAAAATAATGATTAGCTTCTCTAAAGATGGTCAGCTACTATATTAAGGACTTTTTGAGTGAGTTTTAAAGTTAGAGTTTCCATCAAGGCTTTTGGAAAAAGACCTTGTAAGATCACAATTTATGAGGAGTAAGGACAATCCCAAATTACTAAGGTTATTTTAAATAAACTTTTGTTGTTCAGAAAGTGTTTTCCCATAGAAATAATGTTGTAAGTAATAGTAACCATCATTTACTGAGCAACTAATGTGTGCTAGCTACTGAGTGTTTTAAGTGATGTACTAGAACACACATGCACACAATTTAATCCTCCAGCAATCGTTTGAGGTACGTATTTTTACTTTCTTTTACTGAAAATGGAAGCCGAGGCATAGAGACATTAATATACTTAGAGACACATAGCTAGTAAGTAGTGGAGCTGGGATTTAAACCTGGGCTTTGTGGATCTGGAGCCGCATGTTTAATTACTGTACTTAACTACTTCATGGTAAGATACATCTACCTGTATTATGGGTTGAATGAGCTTTTGTAGCTGGCCTGGAAACCTAACCATTATTAATATATTTACTTCGCTGTTCTTTGTCACCATTACCCCCCCCCCCCCCCCCCCCCCCCCCAGCTTCCTTTCACTTCCATAGCACTGTATTTTCCTCTCTGGCCCACTGCTTTTCCCTGTTCTTCATTAGTCCTTACTATTTTAATCTCTACATGTTGTCATTTCCTCAGGGCTTGGGACTGATGTGATTTCTTGTCCATTCTGTGCTTTCTCCTAAGCACATAACATCCATGCTTATGGCTTTAAATATCATCTCCGGGGACACATGTGGCTAAAGCCCAGACCTCTTCTGAGCACCTAATCCATATGCAGTTACCTCTCTCTGAGCTTTTACTTGGGTATGTGATGGGCTTTTAGTAAAGAGCTCATGCTTCCCCCACCACCCCAGCTCTTGTTTGTATAGTGAGGTCCATCTCAGTCACACCTCTCTCCACCTAGTTGCTCAGGCCAGAACCTGGGAGTTGTGTGTGCTACTACTTTTTAATCTCTTAAATATATATTGAAATTGTCTACTTTTTTCTGTTCCCACTACTCCACCCTGATTCAAGGTACTGTTATTTTTCACTTGGATTACTATGGTAGCCTCCTATGTCATCCTTAGTGAAGCTACCATGTATATCAAATGACTTTCAAATTTATATCTCTAGATTCATACCTAGTTGCTTACTATTACCTCCACATGAATATTGAAGAAGTATTTCAAACAAATACGGATATCACCCTAACCACCAAACTGGTTCTCCTTTAATCTTTCCCACCTCAGTAAATAATATCACCTTTTATTGTATCTCAGGCCTAAAAGTGGGAGCCATCTATGATTCATTTCTTTCCTTCCATATCCACTCCCTTAGTAAATCCTGCTGACTTGAGTCCATGGTTTCCTACATGAACTGTTGCAGTTGCCTCCTTTTGCTTTTCTTGCTTCCACTTTAGCTTTTCTAGAGTCTATTAAGCATGCAACAGCCAGATTTAATATTTCATAATATAAATCAGGTGATGTCATTACCCTGCTTAAAACCTTCCAATGTTTCTCCAGAGGAAAATATAAAGTCCTTGTCATGGACTTTATATAATACACATACACACTTCTTACAAACTAATAAGACAGCTAACCACCACTTTTTTTTTTTTTTGGCCAAGCAATTTAAACAAACTTCATAAGGGAAACTATAAGAATAGCCTATAAAAATATAAAAAGATGCTCCTCATCATTTGTTATTATGGAAATGCAAATTAAAACACAATGAGATACCTCTACCTATTTAGAATGTCTAAAATTAAGAAGACTGAAAAATTCAAATGGTCAAAAGAATATAAAGCAGAAATGGAATATTCATTCATTATTAATGGTAATGTGAAATAAATAGTACATGCACTTACCTTCTCACCTAGAAATCCCACTCCAAATATTTAATTTAGAGAAATGAAAACATATGTCCACAAAAAACTTGTATACAATGTTCAAAGCAGGTTTGTTTATTCATAGTTGTCCCTAACTGGAAACAACCCAAATGTCCCTCAGGTGACTAGATAAACATGTTATGATATACTAGTATTCATACAACTCATTGAAAAGGAATGAATTATTCATGTATGCAACACCATGAATTAATCTCAAAAACATGTTGAATGAAAAGAGCCAGACACAAAAGAATATAGGCATTAGGCTTATCAGTGGCTATCTGGGGATGAGATGAAAAAGATATTGATTGCAAATAGTCATGAGAAACCTTTTGTTGTGAAGGAAAAGTTGGTTAGGATTGTGATTATATTGGTGTATTTATTTATCAAAATAAGTGAACTGTGCACTTAAAATGGGTATACTTGCCCTGGCCAGCTGGCTCAGTTAGTTAGAGCATCACCCGTACACTAAAAGGTTGTGGGTTCGATTCTGGTCAGGGCACATACCTAGGTCTTGGGTATAGGAAGCAGCTGATCTGTGGATGTTTCTCTCTCACATTGGTGTATCTCTCTCCTTTCCCCTTCCTCTCTAAAATCAATAAAAACATATCCTCAGGTGAAGATTTTAAAAAATGGATGTACTTGATTGTGTGTAAATTATACCTTAATAAAATTTATTTTTAAAGTTAAAAAAAGATTTTTATGCCCTAGCTGGTTTGGCTCAGTGGATGGAGTGTTGGCTTGTAGACTGAAGGGTCCTGAGTTAGATTCTGGTCAAGGCCGTGTACCTTGGTTGCAGGCTCCATCCCTGGCCCTGGTCAGGGCGCGTGTGGGAGGCAACCAATTGATGTGTTTCTCTCACATTGATGCTTCTCTCTCTCCGTCTCTCTTCCTTTCCACTCTCTCTAAAAATAAAGGGGAAAATATCCTCGGGTGATGATTAACAACAACAAAAAAGATTTAAAAATAACCCTAAATTGAATCTTCAAACAAACAAAATGTAATTCCTACAAGTAATTAATAAGGTAGCCGTAACAATATTACTTTTGAATCAGTATTCTAACTGTTTACACTTAGTGGGATATAATCTTGGCACAGAAAGCACTATGAAGAAATACTGACCTTTACTTAGTAGATTTGTTTTTGGAAGAGGTTGCATTATAGTATTTTCAAATAGAGCTAATGAGAAATATTGATGTAGTTGTGAATTAGGATTCCAACCTTAGGAAAAGGGAGATACATATGTGAAATCAGGGAAGATGAGGAATACTATATTAGATTTGAATGAGAATTGTCAGTATGAACTCATATATTTTAAAAGACTAGCTTTGTCCACCAAAAGGGCTAAAAGCAAATGAAACCTCGGGCATCGAACACACCTTACACCCAGATCTTGGTTTTTAAATGCCAATGCCCACTAAAAGGGCTCCTAGTAGAAATGATTGATTTCAGGTCTGGTACAGGAAAAATATCAAGGTGAGCCTAAAACTTCTTGTGTTAGAAGGATGTGTTTGAGCCTAACAGGAATACCTCCCACCACCTCCTTTCTCTGGGAAGAATTCAGGGGCTTCCTCACAACCATTCCTCCAGGATCTGGAAACTACCCCTGGAGATTTTCGGGTAATTGAACAGGGACCAAGGACAATCTTGTCATCAGATTCAGTCCTGGCCAGGCCATGAGTAGGGTGCTAAGGGGATGGAGCCCAGTTCTATCCTGGGCCCAGAGAGCATTGCCTGGCCTGGACCCTGGACCCAACCCAGCAGAAGTTCCCACGCCAGTAAAGATAAGCTGTGTTCTCCCACCTGGTTCTTGAGAATTTGAGTGGGGCCACCCTGCCTTCTCCAGCAGCTCCTTCCTGCCACCCTCCAAGGCTCCATCTTCATTTATTCTCTCTATTCCTACCGTTTAAACTCTGTTCAGAGTCCAGATGCACTGGGCACTTTCCTCTCTCCCACTGTAGTGTGGCCTTTAAAGCATCCCTAATCTAAACAGGTCAAAGTTAGTCATTCAGAAATACTTATGAAACACACATGAGGCGCCAGACAGTTCTGGGCACTGGGAAGCCAGCAGGGACCAGGACAGGCAAAGTCCTGGCCTCCCCACGCGGACATTCTAGGAACTTTCATGAAAGGAGAATTTCAACTTCACCACAGAGGGGCCAGTCTGGGTGGGGAGAGACAGGGAGAATCACCCTAGATAAAGTCAGTAATTCATCCTTTTGCTTTGAACCACAGCCAGCCAGGGTTACTGAAGCCCAGTGGAAGGGACACTGTCCCTGCTGTTGAACAATTGGCCTGGGGCAAGTTTGAGCTCTCAGCTGTGATGACTGGGCCCTTTCATGCAACCTGGGAATTCACCTACACAGACCTCACCTGAGGCAGGAATGTGGTCTGTGCTGGGCTTCTGTCACCACCACCTGCCCAGACTTCCAACCCGAGGATTCAGGGGAAGCGAAAGTTGCTACATCCACCCAAGGTGCTTTCTTTTGTTCTGTCCCCTTTTGTGTTTGCAACAATCACTGTGTGGACCTTGGCAGGTGCTATCGACACACTCTGGGATTACCTGTGGCATGCAGCCGGGGTCCATGCACAACTACTTCATGTGGACAACGTGCTGAGTGGGAGTGGGGGTGGGGGGTCAAGTAATTTAACTAGAAAGTAGGAAAAATATCAGAAATATCAGTTATATGTGAAGAAAAAAAATGTTAGGAAATAGAATGAAAAGTTCCCATGAATTCCAAAGTTGAAGATGGGAAGTCAAGTGTATTTCAGCTCCTTGGGTGGTTGCTTTAGTCCCTGTGCCCCAGTCCTATGGGGGAGTGGGGGTTGCCTCTCCTCCACCCTGCCTCACGTCCTGTTTTGAAAGGCTCTGGTTTAAGATCTGCCCTCTGAGGGGGCCTTTGCTTGGTGGTACCTTCTCCCAAGTGCTCTCCAAGCAGGAAGGCAAGTATAGATGCCGAAGAGGAGATTCATTTGCCTGTTAGCCGGCTTCGATAACAGCAACCCAACCAAGTGGCTCTGGGCAACAGGGACAAATCATTCCCTCTCACAATAAGAGCTTCCAAAGTAGAGATGATCCAAGATTACATACGTGAGCAGCTGAAAAATGTCATTGAGGACCCAGGTTCTCTCCATTTTCTCCCCCTGCCATTCACTTTTGCTCACGGTATCCTGTCTCATGTCCCTCATCAGATGTCCCCCAGGTTTCATTGGCCAGAATCAGCACAACCCACTTAACAATCTCCAGGTAAGATGAGGCCCCCCACAATGGCCTAGACCAGTGGTCGGCAAACTGCGGCTC